GGCTCAGTTGCCAGGCTGCAGAGAATCCTGTCACCAATCTATGCAGGCCCACAAGTTGCCTGAGGGGTTGTTGTTGGGTGGGGTCAGTCTCTAAGGTGGGCTGCCTGCCCTGGCTGAGCTGGATTAATTCGGTGCTCTAGCGGTGGGGCAGACCCTGGGCTAGCAGGCCCCAGGGAGAACTCCAATGGCGTCTGTGTCAGCACTCCCACATAGCCGCGGCCAATGTCCCAGTCCCTGGAGAGGTCTCACCTCTCACCGAGATGCACTCAGGGCCTATTAGGTGAGTCTCTTTTCACCAAAGCACTGTGCACCTTTCTTTCTGGTGATTTTAGGTTGCTTTCTGAAATGGGTGAGTTTGCGCCTGGGCCCTTTAAGAGCCGGTTTTAATTTCTTTGTGAACCAGCTTTTCTGGGGGTACTCCCCAACGTTTTAGTAGCATGCAAAGTCAGATATTCTGCCACTCGTCTCGATTGTGCTGGGTCCACAAAATGCCCACAGCGAGGGCGCTCCCCGTCTCAGGGCTCCGCTCCTCCAGGGAGGCTGTGTACCTTTGGGCTGCTCCCGGCGGCCGTGAGGCGCTGTGGCTTGTGAAGGCGGCGTTTTTCCTCTCCAGAAGGGAGTTTCTGCCTCTTCCATCTCAATTAGGACTGTCCTTTGTTGCAGGAGTTCCTCTTATCCAGTTTTCAGTTCTTTCTCAGGGGTAATTTTTCCACGAGTAGTTGTAAAATGGCTGTGTCTGCGGGAGGAGTTGAGTTCAGAGTCTGCCTACGCCATCATCTTGACTTCCTCTCTAACTTCTATAATCTTAATGTCAAATTCTTTTGTTTTTTTTTTAAAGGGAATTATATTGATTCAAAAAAACAGAAGAGCAAGGCAAGCAATGATTAGAGATCAGGAAACATGAGATAAGTTAGGGAAAGTAAAGTTTGTTGTCTAAAAAAACACTTTTTTTTTTGCGTGAGGAAGATTAGCCCTGAGCTAACATCCTTTGCCAATCCTCCTCTTTTTGCTGAGGAAGATTGGCCCTGGGCTAACATCCATGCCCATCTTCCTCTACTTTATATGGAAAGCAGCCACAGCATGGCTTGACAAGCGGTGCGTTGGTCTGCACCCGGGATCCGAACCTTCAAACCCTGGGCTGCCGAAGCGGAGCACGTGAACTTAACGGCTACGCCACAGGGCCAGCCCCCAAAAAACACTATATTTTTAATTGCATAAGTGATATATGTTCACTGTAGTAAACCCAGGACATACAAATAAGCAAAGAAAATAAAAATCACCTGGAATCCCACCATCCAAAGATAATCAGTGTTAAATATTGTGGCATAAAGACTCCCAAACTTTTTTTAGCAGTTTTTACGAATGTGCGTATGGATAGATATACACATACACCTCAGCACACACACGTATCCCCCTAAAGGGATTCTACTCTAATACTTATTTAGTTCACTTTTTTCCCCACTCAGTGGTATATTAAGAACATTATTCAATGTGATTAAATTATATTTCTGAAGATGGTTATTAATATCTGCCTTTGTAGTGAGAACTATGTAGAGTCACAGGAAAAGAGATGCAATTAAAGATAAGTCAGGCTCCAAAAGGAGCCTCCCAGTCTCAAGGGAAACTAGAAAACAGATAGCAACAATATTGTTTATTTAAGGAAATCACAAAATGTTGAAAAAAAAAAAGGATGTGGTCACAGGAAAGACTGGGAGGAGGGGATATTTGTATAGGATGTGGAAAAGACAAATTTATAGCCCTCTAGCTGAACACAGTGTCCCCCAGCTTTGCGAGCAGGGAAGTACAGTTCATCCCCCCACTTCACTGTTGGATGTGTCTATTGAAAACCACCATCTTTGAAAAGGCAAAAAGCTCCCAGTGACAAAATTGACCTGCCCTCTTCAATATTTCTCCAGGCGACCTGATATCAGGGCCTTGCCAGCACACATAGCCTATGCGTCAATCAGGAAGAGGGTTCCCCTTCCTATCCCCTTCTTCCAGACACTGCAGCCTAGACTAGGGCACAGGACTTGGGAGGAGAATATCGGTTAGTTTCAGCCCCTGCTCTGGCCCTTGGACAGGTAATTTTGTGCAGAGCAGTACCTCACACAATGGCTTTGTCTGATCTGGTCCCCGCTGATTTACTTAAACTTCCATAGGGCATACGCAAAAATAATCTTACTCTCCCATCCCAGACTGTCACCCTGCCCAGTTCAAGAAATTCTCTGCCTCACCCTGCTCCTAGTTCCTCTGAACTAGGCCAGTCGCACACAAACCATCACATAGGGCTTTGCTCCATAATAATAAATTTTTATTATAGCTACAATTTTTAAGTGTTTAGCTCTGTACCAGACTCTGTGCTAAGCACCTTACAGGCATTATTTTATTCTCACAACAACCCTATGAAGAAGTAGGTTCAATTATTATTCCCATTTTACAGATGAGATTACTGAGAACTGAGAGAGTAATTTGACTAAGCTAATGCCATAGTGATTGGGAGGGACTCAATTCTGACTGATCTGCTTTCCACAAATATTTCCTGTGCACTTTCTGTGAAAAGCAATGTGCTAAAAGCAAGAGAAAAAGGCATAAGGAAGTCCTTTCTTTGAAGAAGCTTACAATTTAGGAAGTTTAGAAAAGAATATGACAAGTACATAATACACCAATACAAGACACAAAGTGATAAATTCAAGTGAAAGGATCAAATTTCTCTCATGGTTACAGAGATGGGAGAGCCTTTGGGAGGAGACAGACTGTGAAATGGGCTTTAATAAGAGTTTTGTCAAAAGAGGATTGTTAAAAATTGGCACAGGGAGACATTAAAGTTAAAGAGACTAGCTGGAAGGCTACTTGTAATAGACCAGGATTTCTTAGCCTTAGGACTATTGACATTTTGGGTTGGATAATTATTTGTTGTGGGGGTTTGTCTTTTGCACTGTGAATGTTAAGCAGCGTCTCTGGCCTCTACCCAGTATATATTATAACATCTCTTCTACCCCAGGTCCCCAGCCAAAGTGTTCCTTGGGGAGGCAAAATCGCTCCCAATTTAGGACCACTGTAATAGACCATGCAAGAAATAAAAAAGGGTGGATGTGATATATGGGTAGGGGTAAAATTTTAAAGTTTTGGCAAGTGTTTGGATAGGAGTGTGACTAGGAAGAGGATTGAAAGATCAGACAGAACCACAGAAAAGGCCCTAGAGTCCAGGCCCTCTGATATGCTTATAATTGCTTGCAACATTGTAAACCCTTTTGGAGGGAGTTTGGAAAAACCTATTAATAATCACAAAAATTATCTTGCCCTTTGACCCAGCAATTCCATTCCTGAGAATTTATCTTAAATGATTCTAGTGAAGACAAGTAATCTTCAAGTACAAAACAACATAATATTACATGGCGACAGCGACCATATTCTCAACAGTTGCGCCCTGATGCCTACCACAGTGCCTGTTAAATGAGAGGCCCAGATTTAAGAAGTCGACTTAAGATTCAGAGGTGAGATGGAAGATTCTGGAGAGAGAAGCTGTAGGTAATAAAACAAAATCCCAGAGGGGATAGCAAGGGCAGATACCAAGAATGCAAGTAGAAAAGCTCATAATATCTTTCTAAGAAACAGGACAAGGACTGAGAATTTGTAACAGGGAAAAAGGACAGAAGGAGGTTAGGCAGAGGAATTTAGATATGGCGTCAATCAATGACGTCATAGGCAGAGTAAAGAGTACCCGGTGGATCCAAGGTTTGAACGAACTTTGCCAGAGAGCATTCCTTGATAACAAGAATTGTGCACTTTCCCGAGCAAAGCTGCTGGGGAGCATGTTATTTAGAAATAAGAAACGAGGGCCGGCCCGGTGGCTTAGTGGTTAAGTGCGCGCGCTCCGATGCTGGCGGCCCGGGTTCGGATCCCGGGAGCGCACGGACGCACCACTTCTCCGGCCAACCCGAGGCCGAGTCCCACATACAGCAACTAGAAGGATGTGCAGCTGTGACCTACAACTATCTGCTGGGGCTTTGGGGGAAAAAATAAATAAATAAAATTATAAAAAAAAAATTAAAAAAAAAGAAATAAAAAATGAGATTAGATTAGAAAGAAAGAAGAATAAAGTAGCCAACTTTATTCCTCCTGGAGTCCCTAGCAACTTTATTTTTAAACTGCCCTCTAAATATGGAATCCTTGTTAATTTGGCAGGGCCTCCGCCGCTCTGGTGTGGAGCCTGCACTTAAACTAACACAACATTTGTTAATCCAGTGAGCCGAAGGCGCTCTAGGGAAGAATGGTGGGCGTGGCCAACCCCGAGGCGGCGGGAGGCCGCGCCCCCTTCCCAGAGTACAGCGCGGCTGCTGCCAGCGCGATTCCCTTTCTCGCCAGCTCGGGCCAGGCTCGGGAGAGGGCTGGATCATGGACGGGCTCCGGGCTAGCGCGGGGCTGTTGAGGCGCGGGCGGTTAAGGCGCCGGCGCCAGCCACAGCCACACAGCGGGTCGGTCCTGGCCCTGCCCTTGAGGCCCAGGAAGATCCGAAGGCAGCTGAGGAGAAGTGTTGCGTCCCGCATGGCCGCGCTGAGGGCCCAGACGCTGCCGAGCGAGGACTCGGAGGACTCCAGGGTGGAGTCGACGGTGGACGATCCCGGGGACCCGCTGCCTGGTGGGGCGGCGGCCCTCTCAGATGCGGCCCGGCGAGAGCCGTACGGCCCCCTCGGGCCTGCAGAGCTGCTGGAGGCTTCGCCCGCGGCCCGCTCGCTGCAGACCCAGCCGGCGCGCCTGGTGCCGGCGTCCGCGCCGCCCGCGCGCCTGGTGGAGGTGCCCGCCGCGCCGGCCCGCGTGGTGGAGACGTCGGCCCTGCTGTGCTCTGCTCCACACTTGGCGGCCGCCCCACCGTCCGTGGTCCCTGCGACGCTCTCGGGGCCGCAGGTGGATAGCACGGGCGGGGAGCTATCCTGGGACTCCCCGCTGCAGCGCGTCTTGGCCGAGCTGAACCGCATCCCAAGCAGCCGGCGACGGGCGGCGCGCCTCTTTGAGTGGCTCATCGCGCCCATGCCGCCGGATCATTTCTACCGGCGCCTGTGGGAGCGGGAGGCGGTGCTGGTGCGGCGGCAGGACCACACCTACTACCAGGGTCTTTTCTCTACCGCCGACCTGGACTCCATGCTGCGCGACGAGGAGGTGCAGTTCGGGCAGCACCTGGACGCGGCGCGCTACATCAACGGGCGGCGAGAGACTCTGAACCCGCCCGGCCGCGCCCTGCCCGCCGCCGCGTGGTCCCTGTACCAGGCCGGCTGCTCCCTGCGCCTCCTCTGTCCGCAGGCTTTCTCGACCACCGTGTGGCAGTTTTTGGCTGTGCTCCAGGAGCAGTTTGGAAGCATGGCAGGCTCCAACATTTACCTCACGCCCCCCAACTCGCAAGGCTTTGCCCCCCACTACGACGACATCGAGGCTTTTGTGCTGCAGCTGGAAGGAAGGAAACTCTGGCGTGTCTACCGACCCCGGATCCCCACTGAGGAACTCGCCCTGACATCCAGCCCCAACTTCACCCAGGATGACCTCGGTGAGCCAGTGCTGCAGACTGTGCTGGAACCTGGAGATTTGCTCTATTTTCCCCGGGGCTTCATTCACCAAGCCGAATGCCAGGATGGAGTGCACTCTCTGCACCTCACCTTGTCCACGTACCAGCGCAATACGTGGGGCGACTTCCTGGAGGCCGTACTGCCTCTGGCAGTGCAGGCTGCCATGGAAGAAAACGTGGAGTTTCGTAGGGGTCTGCCCCGAGACTTCATGGATTACATGGGGGCCCAGCATTCGGATTCTAAGGATCCGCGAAGAACCGCTTTCATGGAGAAGGTGCGGGTCTTGGTTGCCCGCTTGGGACACTTTGCCCCTGTCGATGCTGTGGCTGACCAGCGAGCCAAAGACTTCATCCACGATTCTCTGCCTCCTGTGTTGACTGATAGGGAAAGGGCACTAAGTGTTTATGGGCTCCCAATTCGCTGGGAGGCTGGAGAACCTGTAAACGTGGGCGCCCAGTTGACAACAGAAACAGAAGTGCACATGCTTCAGGATGGGATAGCTCGGCTGGTGGGGGAGGGAGGCCATTTGTTTCTCTATTATACAGTGGAAAACTCCCGTGTTTATCATCTGGAAGAACCCAAGTGTTTGGAGATATACCCCCAGCAAGCTGATGCCATGGAACTCTTGCTCCGCTCCTACCCAGAGTTTGTGAGAGTAGGGGACCTGCCCTGTGACAGTGTGGAAGACCAGCTTTCCTTGGCAACCATGTTATATGATAAGGGGCTGCTGCTCACCAAGATGCCTCTAACCTGAACTAATTTCTTGTTGATTGCTGGAAACAACACAGTAGTGATTCTCTCCTACCACCACCACCTTTTTTGGGGAAAAACTCATGTTCTTACCTTTATAACCATCAGTGTGTTCTCACATTTACCTTTATGACTTCTTCAGTGTCACAAATCTCAGATGGTCTTCTAGGAACCACCACCTCATCTAGGCACAAAATAAAAGCAGAAGTTGGAGGTGGAAAAAAAGGAGCTATTTCTGCAGAAGTAACCTCGATCCCTGATCATTTCAGAGCACCAACTTCATCATCACCCTCAGGCTTCAGTGTACTGTGTAGTACTTGCTGGGTCACTCTGCTTGAGACAAGTTTTTTTTTGGAATTTGCATTCTTCATTTGAGTTCTGTTTCATCAGTTTGGGGGGAGGGTTGGGGTCAGTATTCTGTTTGTTATTGTGAGTTTGTATGAATGTTAGAAAAGTTATTAAAATGCCAAAGAATGTTTTCCTTTTCTAAGGCTAGATTATTATGTGGCAAGATTTGAAAGAATGTGGGAGAGGGGAGGAAGATAGGGAAAATCTATAATGGCTGAGGTGAAAGGTTACTTGGGGTGATACTTGTAGGATTGGGGACCAATTCTGTAACTTTGGGGGTAATTTATTCATTTTAATCATGCTACTTGAACCCCAAACAGCACAATCCTATTAGAAAAGTTATGAGTATATTATGTTTTTGCCCAGTGCTTGCTTTCATCAGTGGCTGGCACTGCTCCCAAAGGGGTAGTATGTCACCTAGTTGTGCTATCATAGGCCTCAGTCAACCAACTTCTAGCAAGCTGGCCATGAGGGAAGGCTGGTGTTCAAGTTACTTTCCACTTTCATTTTTTTCTGGCAGTTGGAAGAAACTTCCCCAAATCTGGCAAGTGAATATTCTCATGGTTGGTGGAAAAGAGCCTGGTGTACCAGAGAGCACTGGACTTGGAACCAGAAGACCTAGGTTTGGGGTGGTGGCTGGTAGGCAGCTGGCTGAATGACCTGAGGCTGCTGCTACACCTGGGCACACAGATTTTGTAAGTATATTTTGGTACAGCTTGATGTCTGCACCTCATCATTTAGGTTGTATCTGGAACTTTTAAGATCCTATCATCGTAACTGATAGGTTCAGTTATATAAGGTTGAGAACTTTATAAAGTCTTTTTTTTTCTAAGTTGCAAAAGCATAGATGTACATAAAGTAAAAATGGAAGCTCTCCCCCCAACCCCACTTTCCAGAGCTTAACATTAAAAGTTAAGCTTACAAGGCTTTTTGGGGGTGCTTGATGAAACATACAGTAGTTTTTTGGTTTTTTTATACTCATGTTTTCCTAATATGGTCTTTTTTGACCTAACTTTCAAATCAGTCCAAATAGAGCTACCTCATTCATTATTTTAAGGGACAAAATAGCAAATAAATAAAAGCCTGAGGGGCAGGAAAAAAATAACAGGACTGAGAGGATGGTGGCCAAGAAGGAAAGGAAGTAGCCTTTCTTGACTCACATCCTACGGGGCTTGCAACTAAGTCCCAAAACATCCACATCATGGAAGAGGCTTGTTAAAGGAGTCAAGACATAGGACTTACTCCTAGGAAACATACCCTGAAAAATTTCTTGGAGAAAAGTATGGAGTTTGAGTGGTTTTTGCCCCTCTTTGGGTTGCAAGTAAACACGTTTTGCTTCCTCCTTCACTTTTCCTATGGCCATCTCAATCTTGAATATTTTCTGCATCAGCAAGTCCTTTTGGCTTAGTATTTGAATCTAGATCAGAACAAATGATGTTGAAAAAAACTACTAGGCTGCAAGTCATCAAAAAGCATTAAAGTAACTTATTGCATCATGCTTATTGGTGTTAGGTGGTACATAAATTCCTGACAGCATTGTTCTGTTGTGATCTTGGTTGGACATTTTTTACACCTGTTAATGAAAAATTTACTTTAGCTTTTTGGGCATGATGAAAGGAACCTGTTAAGAAATGTTTGCTTGGTGTGAAGCTGGTTTTGTGAATTTTATGAAGAAAGAATCTTTTACCTTTTTAAATTCCTTTTCCCTCTATTCCTTCATTTCATCTAACAGCTTTGAAAAATTGGAACCACCTGTTCAGCTAGAGCATTCCTTTGGTGAAAGAGCCTTAATTAGGAATTAAGGAAAGTTAGGAAGGAAAATGAAAATCTAGGGGCCAGCTCTGGTGCCCCATTCCTTCTCTGTGCCTACCTGCAAAAAAGAAGGAATAATCTGGGTTTAGGGGACGGTGGGGAGAAAATGGAAAGGGAAGGAAACAGAATTTCAGAAACAAGGACAACAACAAACCCTGATTTTGAGGGCCACTTGATAGGGCTAATAGGATTTTTGTTTTGTCTTTTTACTAATAGGATTTCATAATCTTATTTTGCACAGATGTTTTATATCTTCAAATGATAAGATGTGTCTGAGTTTGTACACAGTATTTCTGTGATAAGGAAAAGAAAGGTCTGAGGAACTCTTGAGAGCCCTGAATTTTCTCTTGAAAACACAGCTTATACTTATCTACCCTGTTCTTGATCTCCTGAAGCATTTCTTGGTTTCCTTCATTTTCTAAGTTGAGTATCTTCATTGCCTGGTAAATTTCCCTGAAAGATAAGAAGGACTTCTTGGGTGGTTTTTCCTATCCTTAAAAAAGGCATGGGGGTGGAAAATACAGGACTTGGAATCAGACAAGAATCCTAAATTTTCAATCCTAACTGTGCGGTTTTGCTGAGCCTTAGCTGCAAAACTGATGTGATGCTTAGCTTATAGGAATGTGTAGTTTCCCACCCCCCCCCCCCAAAGCCCCAGTAGATAGTTGTACATCATAGTTGCACGTTCTTCTAGTTGTTGTATGTGGGACGCGGCCTCAGCATAGCCGGAGAAGCGGTGCGTCGGTGCACGCCCGGGATCCGAACCCAGGCCGCCAGTAGCGGAGCGCATGCACTTAACCGCTAAGCCACGGGGCCGGCCCAGGAATGTGTAGTTTTTGAGGTGATATATTTGAAGATACTAGTAGGTACCATTTATTGAACACCTTTATGACAGTTACTAAACATGTCATCTCATTAATCATCACCACAAACCCATAAGGTAGACTAGCATCTGCATTTTTGATACACGAAAAAATGGGCTCAGAGAGTTTAACTTACCCAGGCTTACATAGTTAGTGCATGCCTGAGCTGAGATTCAAACCTTGGTCTTTGACTCTAAAGTCTGTCCTCAGAGTAGGCACCTGTAAATGTTAGTTGAATAAATGAATTACTTAAAACCACCTCAGATGGAGAACAGGTGCGTGAACTACATGAACTTGACTTTGAATCTAATTTTGGCCAGTTTTTCTGTTACCCACTTGGGTAAGTAGGTGAATGGCACAAGTGAGCCTGTGCTTTTACAGCTGTTAAGCAGCCTGAAAAGGCAGGGATATATTCTAACAGGGATGGGAGAGTTGGCAGTACAAGAGGTTGTGGCAAGAACCAGAGGTTTAGTGCTTACTTTAGAATAGCATCATGGTTCTCTAGGAGCAGCACGTCTAGGAAGGTGTCCCTGACCTGGTCCCCTTGAAGTTTGAGGGCTAGGATGCTACGGCAAGCTTCTAGTCGTACACCTGGTGACTCTTCATAGTGGATAGCCCAGAGCAGGAGGTTTGTCAGTTGGGGAGTCACTTGGCCAATCTGTCCCAAAGCTGCAGAGAGGTGAGAGGGCAGCATGTTCCACTGTCACTTAAGACTGAGTTGGCTATATCCTAGCATCCAGAAATAGCCTTATTAATAAGTAACAAGGTGTAAGGCAACCACCTGCTAAATTAAGTATTGCAAATGCTAAACTAAGTATTTTCTCTGTATCTTCCGTTTTGGATGCTAATCACCATTAGAATTTTAGGGATGAGTTAAGAGTAGGACATACCTCCAAGGAGATTCCTAGGAGGGGAGGTGTTCCATCCTACCCTTGCCCTGGGATGTGAGCATACACTGATTT